AAATTGAAGTGTACTTGCTGTAATATACAATATCATAGCCTTTGTTACCTTTTTAACTGGAGATACAGGCAAACAGGATGCGAAAGACAATAAATATTTTAACATGTATTCTCCGTCAGACATTTCCTACTAAAACAGGTTTCTTTGCTGCTTTGCTATTTTGAAATGGATCAGTTTGACTTTGGTTATCCTGTCTTGTAGATAAGGAAAAACTTTACTTCAGTTCATCTTTCTTACGTGGAACTGAAACACATGGGGCAGCAGCACCTGGGCCGGTATCCGGTTCATTTCCACCTGTGTGGTGACGTGGATCATAAAGGAGGGTACAGACCCACAACCTTTGTGGACGGCCTGTCTATTCATCATAGCTTCTCAAGATGCATCACTGTGCATGGGACAAATGGCTTGCTGGTAAGTAGCCTCACATAACATTATGCTGGTGCCTGTTGCTGAAAGCTAGCTCTCCTTCAGTCTCAGGACTCCTCAATTTTATGTAAGTAAGCCGTTACCCCACATGCCTTACCCGCTCCTGCTTTTACTGAGAATTCTGCTGTTTTTCTCTATTCTCTTAAGACATCAGTCAAACCTGACATTTGACTTTGCCTCTTCAGTTAAGATTTAAGCTAGTTTTTGCATACCTACTGAGCAAGCTACAGGAATAGCACATGCCACTTAAACCACAATCAGCCTTGCTACCAATGACATTATACCCCTGTATTTCTGCAGATAAAAGACACCATTGGATTCGACACTCTAGGTCATTGTTTCTTTTTGGAAGATGGTGTTGAACAGAGAAATACTCTGTTTCACAATCTGGGACTCCTCACCAAGCCAGGGACCCTCCTCCCCACTGACAGGAATAACTCCATGTGCACCACCTTGCGAGAGAAGGTGTTTGGAAGTTATGTCCCTGTACCTGCCACTGACTGCATGTGAGTAACGGCCAGAGAGAAAAACAGTGGGATGGTCAAGTCCTTCGACTTGTGGGGAAGGTATTTTTGGGGGATGTTTTTAGTGGGCAGGATTTTTTATGACAAATGTCTCAATCACCTTAAAAAATGCCTTGCAGGGCGGTTTCAACTTTCTGGATTGCTCATCCCAACAATAATCTGATTAGTAATGCAGCTGCAGGCTCACAGGTAAATAATAATTGAAGTCCTTTCAGTTTTGTATTCATGTCATAAATGCTCTGGTTGTATGGGTATAAAGTAATGTGTGGCAGACTAATCAAGCATGACCTTATTTTCTGGTCCTGCTTGTTTAGTTGAGAACGGGATATGGTTGAGATGATTTCTTCTA